TCTGTTGAAATTTTTACAGTAATTCCTGTACGATGAATTCGAAAACGATATCCATTTTCTCCATCACGTACAGATTTTTCACATGTACTTTTACATAAGTGAATCATTTTCATTGAAATCGGGTCACATTTTGTTATGTTGACAACCACTGGCTATGGATTTCCCTAGACCAATCGCAACGGGAGAGTCTTATCGATCGTTTTAGAACCCACTAGAAACACACCGCTAGTATATAAACGGTTAACAGGCCACATGACGTGTTATTTCTGGATAGTATTTGTTTGTGCCTGCACTTTCACATTATATTTTCTTTTCAACACTATTTATTCGTCGCTACGGCAACAACAGATTGTACAAATGACCCAAACATATTTTGTTATATTTGGGATAAATTTGGTCTAAGTAAGAGTTTTTCTCTTTCCGATTTGTAAAAAATCCTTACGTATTAGAAAACAAAAATATTATTTTCGAAATCTGCATAGCTGAATTATGAAAAATCCATTATTAAAACCAAAACAATTTTTATGTAGTTTAAATTCGCAGGCTTGTGTTATTAGACCTACACCAAGCTATTTTGCACATCTAATAATTTATAAGGCTTCTTCATTTGGATAATATTATCTATCTTCAACCTAGCTTAGCTGAAGCGAATTGGTCATGGTATGGGATTTGAGTACAAGGCCGGCCCTTGGAGTGGGCGACGTGTGTTCCTGCTTAGGGTGTCCACCCTAAAGGGCGCCAGAATCTACATTGCAATTAGTAGTTCTTGTCTATTTTACAGGAGCAGGGGCGCCGAAAACAAACTGGCCGGTCCTGTTTGAGTAAGTATGCTTCATAGTTCCAAATTATGAGCAATGTTTATGTGATGTTCGATCACGCCAGTTAGCATCATACATTGTGTAACTTAACGTTTTTGGATTGAAAGTAATATCTATTTGGTCATGTTCTGTTGAAAAAGGCATTCTCAACATTTAATTGGAGAAGCCTGTGTTTTATTTGTGTTTTGAGATACTCTAAATTTAACTGTAGTTTAGTGTAACTTCTGTACAAAAAAAGAATTTCCCTTTTCAAATTTTTGAACTAATTGTTTTTCATTTCGCAATTGTTTTATATATGATAATATATTATACCTTACTTTTATCATTAATGTTTAATGCAGTCAATTTTAGAGTATAATTTTCATACATGTTCGCTACATCTATAAAGTCAGTCAAAGTAATAATTATATATTTAGATGGTAAGCAACAGAGAAATCATTAACTTCTGTATCTTTATTTCCTAGTCAACGTCTTCACACATATTCCAATTCGACCTGCCCCCAATGGCACAGCGGTATGTCTGCGGACTTATAACGCTAGAAACCGGGTTTCGATACCCGTGATGGGCAGAACGCAGCTAATCCGTTGTGTACCTTTGTGCTTAACTACAAACAAACCTTACCACCTAAGTATTTAGTAAAAACCAGTATAAAGTAAGATATGAAAACAAACACAAAACAGTTAGAAGAGAAATATTTTGTTCCTTCTCCTAACTTGTAATGCATACAGGAAGAATCTGATCATTTTGGCAATAAATTTATTAAAAAGAAAAAGACCTTTACTCTCCGAATAACATTAAAAAAAACGTTTTATTTCAGCGAAGGCTTGGTTCTTGTGGATTCATCAGAGTTAGCAGTACAAGAATTCTTGTGCAATGGCGAAACGTTGGCTGAAATAACTAGTTTTTTTAGAATCATCTGATGTGTTTGTTTGTTTTGAATTTCGCGCAAAGCTACACGAGGGCTATCTGCGCTAGCCGTCCTTAATTTAGCAGTGTAAGACTAGAGGGAAGGCAGCTAGTCATCACCACCCACCGCCAACTCTTGGGCTACTCTTTTACCAACGAATAGTTGGATTGACCGTCACATTATAACGCCCCACGGCTGAAAGGGCGAGCATGTTTGGTGTGACGGGGATTCGAACCCGCGACCCTCAGATTGCGAGTCGAGTACCTTAACCACCTGGCCATGCGGCCCTGTCTGATGTGTAAAGATCGTTTTTTTTCTAACATTATTGCCAAAATCAAGAGAGAAAGAGGATTTTCCAATCACAAAAACTGGAATAAACGTATTGCGTTAATATCAATTTCGCCTTCCTTCTCCTCCTCTACTCCGCCGCTGGGACAGCGGTAAGTCTACGGATTTACAACGCTAAAATCAGGGGTTCGATTCCCTTCGGTGGACACAGCAGATAGCCCGATGTGTGTTTTTGCTATAAAAAACACACACACACACTCCCCTTCTATCTATACAACTTTCGAGATAACATATTCACTATAGTATAATCTGATAGTAACTCCTCATCTTAAATGCTTTCCAATTCCCACCAGAAAAACAGTTTGAAAAGTATAAATGCTGCACATAGTTAAATGTAAAAATCCAGAGAACGGTCTGAACCGTTGAAACGGTGTGATTTGTCTTACCAGCAGATGTGTCTGCGAAATACAATCTGTGTGTACACAGTACTACATCTAACGAATTTCTAGCATAAATTAGAAGTTTGAAATACTTTATATTTTTGAAGGAGCTTACTAAAGCTAGACGGATGGGGATCATGTACATATATCATCTTCTAGGTTTCTTTCCTAATTCGTGGCACTTTCTTGCTTACAAATCGATACATGTATCAATAAACATAAGGTGAAGCTTGAAACTTTTGAATTAATGCATAATCTTTTCCGACATGAAATTAAACACGTGTGGTGCAATTACATACATTCGGCAAAAACTGTAGATAGTTATCAATATTTAAATTTTCACAATAACGCTTTCTTAGACCTGCATGCTAAGTTAACTAGCTGATTTATCTATTTTCTTATACTTTAAAAATTACTTTGCATTCAAGCCCCATAGATTTTTTCGTTTATTGTATTTTGTTTGATCAAAATTAAACTTACATTTTCATGCCTTCCGAGCTGTTTAGAGCTTTTCATATGTAGTACTTAGGTATAATGAAGAACACGAGGTTCATGTACAAAATAAACTGCTGGTATTTCCATCTGATATATTATTATAATCAGTACATACGATGAACAAATAAAACAATAATAACTTGCTAAAGGTTAAACAGTGGTTGAAAATAAGCCATAATAAACAAACATAACTTTTAAAATATTGCGGAAAATGTTAAGATTTTTTTCTTCATAAAAAAATGCCGGCTATATCGCAAGTCACGTAGCAAGGATCCACGTTCAGCATTGAACCGGAAAGTGTTAGAGAACACTATAATTACATTTCTGGTAGATTAGATCCTTTTTAAATAATATTAATGAACAACTGTACATGCACCTCACGTTTCTAATACCCACCCCACTTCTAGACTTTCTTTTGAAAACGTTATAAAGTCATTTAACCTATGACCGTTTTTAAAATGATGATAGAAACGACGTCTGAGTGATATTTATAAGTTTAAAAGTGCCCCCCAGTGGTACAGCGGTATGTCTGCGGACTTACAACGCTAGAATCCGGGTTTCGATACCCGTGGG